TTGAACCCAGAAGTTGGAGGCTGCAGTGAGCTGTGATTGAACCACTACACTCCAGTCTGAGTGACAGAGATCTCGACTCAAAAAAAAAAAAAAAATGAGGCCACTAGGAAGAAGCCTGGTGTCCAGTGAAGAGGGGAATGAAGTCCTATCCCAGCCCTATCCTCTGCAGCGCTGACAAGTGGCCAGTCCCTTGGGGAGCCCTGGATTCTGAGTGCAGCCCCTCCCTTTCTCCTTCATCTCATTCATTCGTCCTCACCAACCCTCTCCTGGGATGAAGAGAACTGCATCTGCATTCCATCTGTGCCTCTCCCGCACCTCAGGAGTATATGTATGCTCCCACCAGGTGGGCTCCAGACACATCGAATTCATCACTTTCCCCAGAGCTCCAGTTCCCATCACCCCTGTCACCAGCATGGCCGACCTGCCTACAGATGGACAACCTCTCCCTCCCCTCTGCTCCGCCACTTCCTCTCCTCTGTTCACTGCCAAATCCTTCCAATTCTCCCTCTACGGTGTTTTTTACACCCATTCACTTCTCTCCCTTCTCCACTACCTGGTTCTGGGGCAGGCCCTCATCCTCTCCTGCCCTACCACTGGGGGTCTCAAGCGTGGCCTTCCCAATGCACTCCTGGAGGGCCACTGACCGCCCTTCCTTGGCAGCTCCTGGCATTCCCAGAAGAAAGCCCCAGACAGTTATGAACTTGACATGCCGCCTCACCCTAGCCCACCTTTCCATCTCCATTGCTCCCGTTCCTCTGGATAACTTGCGCTCCACCATTACACCGGGCTGCTTCCTAGGCCCTGGACTGGGCTCCAGCTAGAAACACTGGTGCCTTTTTGTTTTTTTTTTTTTATAGGAAGTCTCACTCTGTCTCCCAGGTGGCTGGCATGTAGTAGAGTGATCTTGGCTCACTGCAACCTCTGCCTCCTGGGTTCCAGTGATTCTCCTGCCTCACCCTCCTGAATAACTAGGGTTACAGGTGCGCACCACCACACCCGGCTAATGTTTGTAGTTTTAGTATAGACTGGGTTTCACCATGTTGGCCAGGCTGGTCTCAAACTCCTGGCCTCAAGTGATCCACCCGCCTCTGCCTCCCAAAGTGCCAGGATTACAGGCGTGAGCCATAGTGCCACCAAATTACGGTTTTCAATGGGGGTCTAGAGACCCTGGACTCAGCTTCCTAGAGGATGTAAATGGATGGAATCAGAGAGCATCCACAGGCACTTGGGGTCCAGCTCTGTCCTCTCAAGGTCGTTTTGGAAGGCGGGGTGCATTACTGGGAGAGAAATCTTACACTGAGCAGAACCAATGTGCCTCTTTTTATAACCACAAAATATGAAACAGTCAGCTAAGTCAGGAAAGAATCCAGAGATTGTGCTGACAGTGCAAGTTGACGGGAATCCCAGCCTAGGACATCAGGGAGAAGCACAGATGGTGTAATTCAGCCCCAAAATTTTTTTTTTTTTTTTTTTTTTTGA